AGCGTTCCAATCGCCCCGGCTGGTGACCGAGTCCGGAATCAGCCCACGAGCACAGCTTCGGGCCATGAGAGGTTTCCTGGGGGTTTCGGGGAAAGCTCTCCTTGCTCATCTGAACTTTAGAAATGACCCTCTCTCTCCTCTCTTCCTCTTTTCTTGTGTGGATATAAGGCCTGGAACTGCAGGAGTCTCCTGCTGCTGGTCTAAGGACAAAAGCAACATGTGGCAAAGTGCAAAGTCAGGAGAATCACAAGAATGTGGAGCCAAAGGCTTGGACCTGTGTCAACGCCACAGCCCACACTCCCTCTGAGCTTCTAATATGGCTGACCCCTGAACAACTTGGAGGTTGGGACACTGACCCTCTGAATAGTTGAAAATCCACGCACGTAACTTGCAGCCGGCCTCTGTACCCACAGTTACAGTTCCGTATCCACGGATTCAACCAACCTCAGAGTGAGTTGTGTAGCAATGTAACATTACTATTGAAAAAATCCCCGTGTAAGTGGCCCCGTGCGGTTCAAACCTGTGTTGTTCAAGGGTCAACTGTCTGTGAGTCAAAAGAATCTCCTCACCATTCAAGCCAGTCTGAGGTTTTCTTTTTTTCTCTCTCTCTCTTTTTTTTTTGGCCTCACCATGTGGCTTGCGGGATCTTAGCTCCCCGACCCGGGATCAAACCCAGGCCCTCGGCAGTGGAAGCGCCAAGTCCTAACCATTGGACTGCCAGGGAACTCCCGATCTGAGTTATTTTTATAGTCCCAAGCATCTTACTGGCCTTACATAATACCATAAACAAAGACTGTAGTTCTGGACATGAAAAAATATATAATTATGAAACCAGAAAAGTATTTTGATTTGGAGGTAGAAGGAGCCTTCTTTAGCAAGAGGATAAAACTTAAGAGCTATCAAGGAAAATACTGACCACTCACTAACTACAAACTAAAAATCCTGAACGCCTAAAGGCACAAACACCATCAAAGGACACAGACAGGCTGGAAACACTAGCACCACACATCACAGAGGTTAACACACAAGGTCCAAAAGCCCCTACACGTTGATAAAAAGTACACAAAAAACTCAGTGCTACCAATAAGAACGTTCATTCTCTTTGACCAGCAATGATTCCTCTGGGAATCTACACTAAGGAAAGAATCCTGAACATGGAGTTTCTGCACTGATATTCTCCTCAACATGAACAGACTGAAAACTGGGGCAATTCTGTCCCTAAATTCAGAGAGCACTAGTCAAGCCATAAAATGTTGTTCAGAGGCCTCCCAGCCTCAAGGGCTGTGCTTGTTGGGAAAGTACTCCCTGCTCCCTAAGCTGCCAGGTGGTCCCCATCCCTCTCTGGGTGCAGACCACAGTCGACCTGCCATCTCAGTGGGCAGAGAAGCGGGTTCCCTCTCCTAGGCGGCAGGCTGCTGGAGACCACCCAGCGTGCCCGCAGAGCCCGGCCCAGGCCTGCACAGCGGAGCCCTGGCGAACCCCAGAGACCCCGCACAGCTGCCGACAGTCACAGCCCACGGCCTGCTCAGCCACGCCTTACCTTGGAACAGGGTCCCTCCAGTCACCCCTCTTGTTTGCTTTCTTCGCTCTGGAGAACTCGTTCACCCAAATGCTGCCAAACAAGCCAAAGCTGACCTGCAGCCACCTCTCAGCACCTCCTGCAGGGGTGTCTCCCCACAAACACTGCAGACCATCATCTCCACTGGGGACAGCATCATCTCCTCCTGGGGACCGGGAGGACTGGTCAGAGACTTCCTGGTGGTGCCCGGCCTCTTCCTTCCACTCTTTTTGTAGAGGCTCTGACAGTGGGTTGTTGCCAGGGGACACGATTTCTTCATCTGGATCAAATCTAAGGAATAATTTCTTTCCATGGACCTAGAAAAAGATGAACATGATCTAAGGCTCTGCTATAGACTTATTTGTGTCCTCCCAAAATTCATGTGTTGAAATCAACCCCCAGTGCGATGGTGTCTGGAGATGGGGCCTCCAGGAGGTGATGAGGTCGTGAGGGTAGAGCCCTCCTGAATGGGATTAGTGCCCTTATAAGAGACTTCAGTGGGCTCCCTCAACCCTTCTTCCACATGAGGACACAGCAAAAAGATGGCTGTCTACAAACCAGGAAGTGGGTCCTCACCAGACACTGAATCTGCTGGCACTCTGACCTTGGACTTTCCATGCTCCAGACTGTGAGAAATAAATTTCTGTTGTTTATAAGCCACCTGGTGCGAGGTATTCTGTTACTGCAGTCAAAACAGACTGAGTCTTACCCAGAAGGGGGAAGACTGGAAGAAGTGTATACAGACACTTATCCTAATGCAAATGTCTCCCCTCTTGCCTCTTCCATGAAACTTTCCCAACTTGAATATTTGGGACTTGCCTTTTGCTTTTTGCTCCAGCCGTGTGGGCACTTAGTACATGGTTTTCAAAGTGATTAGAAGCAAGTGGAAGAATCAGATCAGCAATGAAATAGACGCACGCTAGACGCAGGGCCACCCTAGAGTACCTGAGGGGAAATACTCCCAATTTTTTCATGAATTAGCTAATAAGTAAATACTAATTGTCATTCCTGTATTCAATTCATAATACTTTTTCTTTGTTAGAAATAATCAGCATACATACACATACACACTACACACAAATTGACAGCAGCTAAAGACAACCCACTGTAAAATTCTGTAGCCCTCACCACCCCCCTGAAATTGGATTTGATAGAAGGAATGGCCACAAGAGACCTCACAATAAAAAATGACGATCAATACAATTTCAGTAGAAGAAAATGAACACAGAAAATGTGTGTAAAAGAATGCTCCAGCTACTGAGTATTCTATTTTCATATTGCTAGTCCTGGCAGGTAATGTGTAAATGGCCCGATTCCAGGATAAGCCTGTTCTGCAAGACCCGAAATTCAGGCAGTCTTTCCAAGAATTAAAACCAAAACATCTGGCATTAATAGTGGAACTGCCTGTGATATTTTGACCACCAAAGGTACATACTTAAAGATCACAGTTCTGATGAGATCTACAATTTGTCAATTAGTATAAAAATTAACAACTGGAGCAGTCTTTTGAAGGCCTCTCCCCAAAAGAGGGCATTATCTTTCTAAATAATTCCAGAATAACTTAACTGCAAATCTGAGCACAGCTGTTTGCTGCCACACATCAGAAATGGTTTAACTGAGCTTACATAAAAACCTGAGCAAGGAATTAAGTAGGCATAAGAGAATGTGCTCCAGGCAACACTTTCTCGATGCAACTTCATCCATGTTGGAATAAGGCTGATGAAAATATTTGTCAGATGACCCTCAAGGTCAAAACATTTACCAGGTCAAAAGGCCTAGGTCAGGAGACCCTTGCACCCTTCCCAACAATGGCAATTTCCACCGTCCCTCTTTTAAATTCCTCTGACACTATGGATAGTTCAGTTCTAATTGCTAACTGGGTTTATACAACGTGCCAGACAGTGTGCTAGGTGCTGAGGGTCACACAGATGAGTGAGTCTCTGCTCCTTCCCTCATGGAATTCAGGATTTAAAAGGAATGAAGTTCTGACACAGGTTATAACAGGGATGAACCTACGAAACATTATGCTCAGTGAAAGAAGCCAGTCACACACGGCATGATTCCAAGTATGTGAAATGCCCCCCGAAAAGGCAAATCTGTAGGATAGAAAATAGAGTAAAAGGGTCGCTTAGGGCTGGGGGTGGAGAGTTGGGGTGAAAGGGAAAGGACTAATGGGCACAAGGCTTCTTTTGGGGGTGATGAAATGTTCTGAAGTTGATTATGGTGACGGTTGCACAACTCTGTGTCAAGAAACTGAATTGTACACTTGAAATGGGGGAACTGGATGTGATGTGAATTACACCTCAACAAAGCTGTAAATATTTTTTAATTGGAGGACTGATATAAAGTCTAAGTATACAGTGGGATTTGATCTCCATATGTCCCACCCACCCAGACTAGGATGGGACAGAAACATTAACAGGTGGAAAGGACTCAATATTTACCTCCCACCCCTAAAGCTTTCTTAGGCAGCTCTGGAGTGTGTGCTCTGCAAAATGAGAGGCTAAAACAAAAGAGAAGATGATATGGGACCAAGTGTGGAGAGACTGCCTCCCAATATCCCTCTCTCCCCTCCTCCCTACCAACAAATCTACTGATTTACAGGAACGTCAACATACTCAGCTAAAAACCTACATCTCCCAGCCTCCCTTACAGATGGGGAAGCCAGTGAGATTGTGCAGGAATGGTCAAATGTGGTTTCCAGGAAATCTCTTTAAAATGAATGAACCAGTTTCCAGCTCTCTCCTGCCTTTTCTTCCTGCCTGGAATGTGGATGTAATGGCTGGAATCCCAGCTGCCATGTTATCATCATCATCATGAGGATGAGGGCTACACCCCAGGGAGAGAAGAGCAGGAGCTTGGGCCCCAGTGATCTCGTGTCACTCCTACACCACCCTGGATCGCCTCCTCTGGACTTCCCATTATGGGAAGGGGGAAAAAAACCTCCTGACTTGTATAAGCCACTCTTCTGAGTCTGTTATGAGCAATTATACATAATTCCTGACACAGAAACTGGAGAGCTTATAAGGAAGGACAGTGAAGGGCCATGCCAGATAAACAGCTGGCACAGAGTGGAGCCAACCTTCCTCTGCCTCACGAGCCCACCCTGCTCATTCCACCTCCATTTTTGAATCTGTAACTGATTCTCAAACCTGAAATGCCCTTTCTTCCCCTTTTGACCCACTTAAGTCCTCCATCCTTCAAGGTCCAACTCAAGTCCCATCTCCATCATGAAGGCTTTTTCTCCAGGCCACAGGACCTCTTCTATGTCGAGGCCCCCAGCTGGGCCTTAATCACACGCTCCCTTCCTCCATTCACTGTAACCTAACAGCTTCCCATTTAGGGACACAGGTCTAAACTTCCAAATTCAACTCTCAGATCCTGAGAATAGGACCCACGGACAGAGGAACAGAAAGGGAGCCCACTGATGGGGACCCAAATGCCAGGCGGCTCCCCAAGGCCACCTCCCTTAGGCTTCTGGGCTCTCAACACTGACCCCTGCCTTGGTTTACTGGGAAACCAGTGCCCAGATCCATCTCAAGGCTCCCTTGCCTCACATTCTTCTGTCCACTCAGCTATTGAGTAAATATTTTCTGCAAGCCAGCTCTGTGAAGGCAGGTGCTAAGATCCCGGCCACTGGGACCCAGAGACAAAGGGACATTAATCCTGTCCTGCAAACTCTGCAGGACAGTCTGGACAAAGAGTCCAGGTGCTCTCACGGGAACAGCACAAACCTGGAGGTCAGGGGGCCTGTGCTCCAGTCTTTGTCCCTTGCTAGCTACGTCGGCTTGGGCTAACCGCTCCCCCTCCCTGAGCCCCACCTCCAAATGCAGAAAACACACATGAAGTTGTAGCAGACCTCTTACAGACCTCTTCCAGTTTTAACCAAGAATGGTTTTATAGCCTCTGTGTGTGTGTGTGTGTGTGTGTGTGTGTATGAGAGAGAGAGAGAAGGGCAAGGTGGAAGACAGAGAACTAATATTTACTGAGCACCTATTATGTGCCAGGCATAAAGTCGGCTTAATTCAACAATTTTAACTGGTAGGTGTTTATCCCCATTTTACAACTCTAGCAGACACTAGAGCTAAGAGGTTATGTAACTTGCTTAGAAACACACAGCTAAGCAGCAGCAGAAATCCTTGGTTTCTCTACCACCAATTACCAAATGCCTCCTAAGTGCCAGGCACTCAGTTAGGTGCCAGGAATACAATATTGCTGAGGTCACAGCCCCTGCCCTGTTTGTCTCCTCCACTCAACAGGCAGGACAAATTCAGCAGTGAGCATCCAACAAGAGGTACAGGGTGCCCGGGAAGCACAGCAGTCTCTTCTCCAACTCAGAGCAGTCAGGGCAGGCTTCTCAGAGGATGTGATGGCAAGGCTGAATGCAGAAGGAGACCAGGAGTTACCATGGTAACATGAAGGGACAGGAATGGGGGTGGAGCTGGGAGAAAAAGGAAGACCTGCACGCACAGGGGAGCAGCACGTCGACCATGAAGGACTGTGAGAGGAGCTCTAGATAGTTCAAAATGACTGGAGAGAGATCTGGGGCAGGGTGAACTGCAGGCCAGAGAGGGAGGCATGAGTCAGACCACAAAGAGCTCTGCGAGCCCCTTAGGGCAGGGGTCCCCAACCCCCGGTACCGGGCCGGGCCGCGGCCTGTTAGGAACCAGGCCGCACAGCAGGAGGGGAGCGGCGGGCGGAAGAGCCAGCGAAGCTTCATCTGCAGCTCCCCATCGCTCACATTACCACCTGAAGCATCCCCCCCCACCCCGCCGCCCCCGCCATCCGTGGAAAAATTGTCTTCCACGAAACTGGTTCCTGGTGGCAAAAAGGTTGGGGACTGCTGCCTTAGGAAATTCTGACTCATGCTCAGAGCAAAGGTGAGCCAGGCTGAAACCCAGGTCAGAAGGCTATGCTCTTTCCTCACCTCCTTGCTGGCCCCATAGAATTAAACACGGTTTCCAAACAAAGGTGCACATCAGAGTCTGCCGGAGTCATCACCACCACTCCAGACGCTGAATGTGAATACCCAGCTCGTGCACATGTATTTTTTATAGTTCCACAGGCCACTGTGCTGCTCACCCGAGGCTGAGAAATGTCAGAAGTGGAGCTGGGTGGAGTCCCAGCATGGTCACCTCAGGCTCCAGGAAGTGACAGCATAAATTTAGCGGCGGTACAGGGTGTGCTGATGGAGTCGGCCCGCTGGGGTGAGCTGTGGAACGAGCCTGTCAGAAGATGATGAACTCACCTGGGTGTCCTGCAGCCACAGGCACTGGAAGCCGGCAGGGTTCAGCTTCTTACTGCTGCCCCCTGTCTTGACCACCTGCTGCCCCACGAAGGGGGAGACCAGATGGTGAAACTTCCTCACAGACGGCCCCTCCGGCATCCCTGCCGGCAGAAATGTGGAAAAGAGGCCACTGACTTAGCTGGTTTCTCTAGCATTTCTGATGGGTGCCAAGCTCCACGCAGCCGTTTTTGGGGGGTTTTCTGCCATCAACTTTAAGAGCATATACGGCCAAAAAGGGAATGTGTTGGGAAGGCGGGGTCGGATCAAAGAGAAAGCCCCCATGCGGCAGGCTGTGAGCCAGCTTCCTGAGAACAGTTACCCCATCCCAGCCCCTCTCGCCTTTCTTCAGGCAGCACCAACAGTGTGCCAGGCATCACACCACAAGCGCCCTCCGCTTTGATCCTGTGGCAGCCTGGACGGGAGCCCACTCTTGTTACTTGTTGCCTGGACTGTGGTCCTAACTCATCTCCAGGCTTTCTCTGTCCTCCTTCTGCCTCCCCAAACCAATCATTCCAGCCCACTGCTGCTGCTTTATCTCCCCTCTTTCAGTGGAGAGATGGTTGAGGTAGAGAAGGCTGTAAGGGACACAGATACAGATGCAGATCCAGCCCTGCCAGGACCACCCCGCTAGTAGCAGCACTGCGTATGTGACAATGCAAAGCTCAGAATCATGACAGGTGCAGACACGGGGTCATGTCAGGTCAGATCTGGGAGACGCCACATCCGGCTTACCTAGAGATTATCCCTGGTAACTGAGAAACAGCTGGGGTTCCATTTTAACGGTGATGTAGGGTGACCTGTGACCCCCCACCTCTTCCTGCCCAAATCATCCAAGTTCACTGCGAGCTTGTGCGGGAGGTATTCATATGTTTGGGCCTGAGCGCTCGGCACCCCAGCTTCTAAGACACAGAAGGCATTCCCCCCACCCTTACCCTACTTATCCACCTGTTTCCTCACCTGCACAAGACTGCAAGTTATGATGAAAACCCAAAGAACTAAGCAGTTTCCTGGCACAGTGGTAGCTACTGCATTTCAGTAACTTTAAGTAATATTTAAAAATCTCTGAAATGGCGGTGCCTCTTACAGTCCATGCTTTCTCAGAGTTTAATTAGCAGCACGTTCCATAATATGTATTTTTAATTTGATGGTGCTTTAGACTCACTAAAATGTAGTACAATTGCCCCTAATCAGACCTTCAAGTCACTCGAGAGGCTCTCCTGACAAAACTGCGGGGCTGCAGGAAGACTGGCCACAGTGCAGCCGACCTGAACCTCAACCAGCTTTGCGCCCTGGTCTCTCCAACCGTGGAAGCTTCTGGAAAAGCTCCCCTCTGAAATGCCTCTGATGCTTAAAATCTTTCGACACAAGGGCATGTTTCTTTCTCGGGTTTATTTATGGAAATGGAAAGCTGGGCAGCGAGCTGCCTCTACCACAGCCTTAAAAGATAAGAAACCGAAGGGACACAGGTCCCGAGGGGACACCCCGCGCACCCTCGTTAACCGCGCGAGGCTGGTAAGGGGCTGGCTAGCGGACCACACTGACAGAGGAGAGGGCGTCACCGCCGCCCCCACCCCCGGGAGAGTCTAAAATGCCTGCTTTGCCCAGCGCCTTCTCGGGGTGATGGGGGGAGAAGCGGGTGCAGAGACGGGACTGACTGTCACTGCAGGAGCCTCGGTCGGGAGTGCGGGGGCGGGGGATGTTAAAAAGTGGTAAACAGCCAAAACAGAAAGAAAAATTCAACCCGGGCTGCGCGTTTCCATGAGGGACGCTTCTAAAAGGTTCGGTAACTGAGTTTTCACGCCGGTAACAAGGTGACGAGGGTAAAGCTGGGGAAAGCCCTGAATTTCCGACGGGGGAAGTGGACCCGCTACAGCCGAGGACGCGCCGCTCCGCCCCCTCCCCACCCGCGCACGTCCCGCGACGCCGCAGCGGGACTCGCGGCGGGACTTACCGGCTCCCCGCCCGCAGACCCCGGGACCCCAGCGCCTGCGAGGGCCGCAGACCACCTCCGCGCGGGCCGTGGAACACCCGGCGCCCGGTGTGCGCGCGGATTCCTCCCGGGGTGCGCGCTGGACTCTGTCGTAGGCGGGTGGGGGAGGCGTGAGGGAAGCGGAGCTCTGACTGGAGGTGGGGAGTGGGTAGAGCGAGGCTCCTCCCTCGAGGGGGTGGGGTAGCTCGGGGCTCCGCCCCCGGTGAGCGTAGGAGGCGGGGCTCGCCCTGCGCGGGTGGGGTTCGGGATTTCGTTGTCCAAACAGGTGCGGGGCTCTGTCCTGGGAGGCGGGACTGGGGTCTCGCCCTTGGGAGAGCTGGTGAGGGTGCGGAGTGCCTCCCCTAAGGAGGTCGCTGGACGCTGGGCCAATGCCGAGTGTCGAGGCTAAAGGGTGGAGAGAGAGTGAGTCTGAGCAGACGGTGGGGGGAAGAAGCAAACCGCGTTTGGAACGTTTATTGTCTTACGAAGATAGAGAAAATTAAGTTGTTGAATAGGAGAAATTTAGGTGGTCAGGCAAAGGCAAGCCTTTGGTTTTGCTGGGCCTCCGAGCCCAGCGAGGTAATTGAGAAAAGGAAACAGGTTGTCAAGAAATCTCATGAAGTTTTTAAACGGTGGGATTTTTTTTTTTTTTTTTTACTTTATAGGATTTGAATATTATTATTTGAATTTTTACCATAAGCAAATTTTGCTTTAAAGGTAATATTAAATTTTTCCAGACAATAAAAAAGATAAAATAGTAGACTATTTTAAAATAAGAATGTTCCATTGTTGTTAATTCTCCAGAGAGGATGGGGAGCCAGCACTTTCCAAGAAGTCAGCAGGGAAATTTGGGGAAGCTGATCCGGATGGCAGGCACCAGGGACCATAGCTGAGAGGGCCCTGGGGAGGTCTTGGCCAGCACAGGGAGACAGGCCCAGTCCCTCCCCAGGTTGTGTCCTGCTGATCCAGCCGGAGCAGTACAGGTGGCCCTTCTACTGAACCGGCTAGGGCAGGAAGTGAGGAGAGGAAGGCTGGAAGGTCTGGGCTACTGAGGGTGCTCAGCACAGAGGAGCCCTGGAGGGGGGATGAGGTTTGAGGGGATGGTGTTTCCATCCCCCCTGGGCCTTCTAGTCTCCCTCTTTCTGTACCTGGCCTCTTCTGGGAACAACATACCCACCACAGGATGCCACCTGCTATAGGATCAAGCACACCCTAACAGTAGCTTCTGGAGCACCTAACTCCCCATTCTGTAGACTCTGGCTGAGCTGGGAAGGAAGCCAGAGCCACAGTCCTTGCCTCACCTCTTGGACTGAATGCCTGGTGCCTAAGAGGGCTCTTCTGAGGCCGAAGGGTTGTAGAGTTGAGCAACCATGTGGTTCACAGCTTACCTCTGTCGTTTACAGTATAGCCGTTGTTTGCTGAGCACATGCAGTGTTCTAAGCTCCTTACATATATTGCCTCAATAGTAGTTATGGGGAGACAAGCAAGTCACAGTACCTCTGAATCTATTCAGCATGAAGTGGGGTCGCTATTTCATGGTGTTATTATGGAAATATCACAAAGCAAGGTTTGTAGCAGGGCCCAAGATTTTGCCTTTCCCACAAGCTCCCGAATGCTGCTGCTGGAGGTCCAGGGACACAAGGTGGAGCAGCGAGGACTTAGGAGCACAGTGGTTGGCAGTTGGTGGGCACTTAGTAAATATTCTTTGAAAGAATGGCTAAATTAGATCTTAGATACGAAACTCATAAACTGTAAAGTGTGGTGCAAATGTATGCAATCACCATTCTAAGACAATAAAGCTGGAGAATCTGCCTGGAGAAGGGCAAGCTTCCAGAAGCGCAACTCTACAGAATAGCGGTGAAGAGCACTGTTGCTGCATCAGACTACCTGAGTCCAAATCCCACCGCTCAGTGGGCAGAGCTGGGCGAGTAATTTAACCTTTCCATACCTTAGTTTCTTCGTCTGTAAAATGCAGTGAAATGCCTACCTCACTGGGTTATGGTGGGATTTACTGAGATGATTCACCTGAATCTCTTAGCACTTAGCCTGACATATAGCGATACATCAATATGTTCTTAGTTATTATTAGTTGCGTCCTGGACGGGGACGGGGGGCAACCTCAAAGCCCACAGGAGCCTGGGCCTCAGCAGCCAGTTTTCTAAGGGCCATGGAGCCAATTTCTCCCTCTCCCTTTGTACCGGTGAATCTTAAACAGGGTTAAAGTTACAATGACCATGAACATCGATTAAAGCAAGAAAGTATGTGATGGAGAAAAGCAGTAGGATGTGGTGAGGATGCCAGTGAATGAGCTTGGGGTCCTGAACCACATGGAGGAGGTTTCATGTGTCTCTAGGAACCCCTGGGGAGCCTGGAGGGCTGAGAGTGAGGCTCCTGGGTCCATTCCAGTTGCCCCTCTTTTTTGGACGTGTGACTGTGGACGGTGAGCCCTGTTTTCCAGTGGTTCTAGGGCCTTCTTTCATCATGTCTAAATTGGAGAATTCGGAACCAAGGATTCTCCCCAACTTCTAGAAAGACGTTGAAAGACTTCATCTTGGAGTGGGACCCCAGGTTGTGCGGGGGTTTCAGCTTTTAGGTTTCCACTCTTTGGGAGAGGCAGGGGGGCGGTGTAAAAGCTCAGATTCTGCAGTCAGGTTTGAATCCTGGTTCTGCATGTACTAGTTCTGTGGCCTAAGGGAGCTACTTAAAATCCATGGGCTGTATCTTCTTCGTGTGCAAAACGTGGTTGTGAGGATGTAGGAAAGTTTTAATGGATGTATAAAGCTACTTAGTAGCGCAGCTGATTTGCAGGAGTGCTTGGTAAGTGGCAGGTGTTTTTTTAGCACAATTTCCGGGGTGGTCTCAGATTGAATGTTTGAAAATCAGGCTGTCGCATTCTGAAGGCCACAAGGAAGAGAACGCCGGCGCCCCCAAATGGTGAGCGCATTAACTGCAAGGGAGGTAACTTTATGCCAGTTTCGGCCTCCTTAGTGAGGGTAGGTGCTCAGTAAGTGCCCCTCTTCCTCATGCCAGCTCTGTGGCCTTGGGCAAGTTCTCTCGACGATGGTGGGACAAGAGGATTTGGACCCGATGATCTCTGAGACCCCCTCATGATCTGTAAATGAGTCAGGCA